ATTCAGCGAATAAAGTGGAAGCCTCGAATTGAATTAACGAATTAAGAATAAGAATTTTACAGCATTGTAAAACGAATTGAGTAGAAGACAAGTAGAATACTAACTTCTCCGTGCTTTGTCTAAAGTTGAGCATGGCGTACTGCAGCAGAGAGTGTTTTCCGTCGTTGACGACCGGCCCGCTCTCGTAGATGCCATCTTCTTGCAATCTGCCGTTGTCTTCCGGTTGCCGCCATTCCTGATTCGGGCTGAGCCGCTGGTTCTGCTGGTTTTTCTGATGGTTCGTCTGGTTCGTCGCTGACACGTGGTTCGGCACACGACCGGCGGACACGTGGTTCTCGTGGTTCGAGATAATATGATTAGCTTGGCCGTGGGATTGAACGTGATTCGACGTGCTGTGATTCGCCTGCGACTGGATCGATTTCGTGATCTGAGACACGTGGTTCTCGTGATGATTCGACTTGTGCAGCGGCTTCTGATCCACCTGAAACCGTAACGTACCATTTCCTTTGATTATTATTCTTTACTTTAATTGATTCTCTGAATTTTGAAAGATCGAGGTGTCCAAACGAAAGATGTTTCTCGATCAAAGTTTGGAAATTTCGAATCCTCGAGCACGCATTTTTCTTTCTTTTTTTTTAAATCTTTTTGAAAGAAATCTCAAGTTTAGAACCAAAATAACTTTTGTCGTTGTTGTTAATTATGTCTTCTGATGTTTATAACCGAGAAAGTTGAACCTTTGAGCGAATGGTAATATCATTTGCTCTAACGACCAAATTGAACTTTCACATGACTGTCAGGGTAGGGAGGAATTGTCGATCTAGAGCGGAGGAAATCGTTTCACTTTGAATTGAAAACGAAGAAGAAGGAGAGATAATTACAGATGTTAACCGATAGATTTTCATAAATCACCAATGAGAAAAACGCGAGGTAAATATCGCTAGCTGAACCACTACTTTTCACTTCCGGCGCGGAGCTCTTTGCCACACCACGTTGGTCAAAGGTTGGTCTGGATCTTGGCGTTCCGCGAACGAGCGTCTTCCGTTCATTTATCGCGATCGAAAGATCAATTCGCGTTCAGTTCGCGCTCGAATGCGTAAACTGCCGGTGTAAAAAAAAAAAAACCTCGAATGTGGGCGTTGCGTCGCCCTGGTTTTCGCGACTGATATGCACAGACGGTTTCTCGACCTTTTCTATTATTCATTTTCTCTTTCGGCTCGCGTTTCCTGCTTTTCACCGGCAACAGTCACGGATCCATCCACCTCGCGATCGATCTCGCGAACGAGAAAACGGGTTTCCCTCGCACGCGAGCCAGCACTCGATAAAGGAATTCCAACAACACCACTTCATAACGTCCAAAAGTGTTTGTGGAATATTTCTTTTTCCGTGTGCGTGTGTATAATAATAAAATAGACTAGACTAAAAGTTTCTCTACTTTCAATCTAATAAAATTCAAAATACCTGATTCCTGATTCGAAATTTGTGGACCGCGTTTGCATGTCGAAGAATATTCTCTTCTCGTTTATACTTATCTTGCCTGCAGTCGGATTTTAGTTATTAACCGAACGATTGCAAATGAATAATCCGCGAATGATCTATGACCGACTTTTTCACCCGTTTTTTTCTTCTTTTCTTTTTCACATTGCGTCCGTGTAATTATACCGGTTTCATGGACGAGCTAGAAACTAGATTCTGCTTAAAAGTTGTTCAGTTGCAAAATGTCAAGGAACGATAGTTTATCGGTGGCATTCGTTGTACGCGTTTTACACTTTTCCAACGTCGGTAATGTCGTGAAAGTCGAAGTTTATTGCTCCACATGATTGCCATTATTATTACCGCAGCTGACATGTATTTACTAAATTGCGATTTCTTTCATCTGGAAAAACTGTAATCTTTCCGCGGCGCTATTGCAGGAATGATAGTGCAATAACGTAACTCTCAGTTTGCTCGTAATTTTCAATGTAATAAGTAGCCATTATCCGAAAATAATGGAACGTACAGTGCATTGTCAATTTTTTTACCGTTTCTTTCGAGTTTCGCACGTTGTTTTAAGAACAGAGTTTTTCCTATCGGGAAAGAGCCCCTTTTTTCTTTTAGGCAAGACTTGTGTTTCTCGCATTTGAATAACAATCAACTTTAGACGACAATCGCGTTTCGGTTTCATTTTCTAAATTGGTAGAAAGGCACACAAGATACCAAATATTTTAATAAATAGCGTAGCACCTGCTGTTATATCGATGAACTGAAACTCTGCTGACGAAACCTGAATGTAGCCGAGCGAGTGAGATAGGCAGATGTTGACCCTGACCCACATAATCGTTAATGCAACGGTGGTAAAACGTGGGCATACACATAGTTACGGCAATGGTATTAATAAGAATAACCATCCACTTGATTCTCTCCGGCCTGTTTATGAAATAAATTGCGCCGCAATTCCTATCTCGTCGGGGATTCTCGTCTCGTGTAATCTATCAAATCGTACGTCACGAGATCGATAACAAATTTTCCGCTTGGTAATTGGTAATTCAAATCGGAGACTAGACGGACAGACCGGGAGAAAAAAAATTATGACACGAAAGGAGGCACGACGCACGCTGTTTCAGACGTTTTTTCATTAACCTTAATTGCCGGAACGAACGCGATACGATTCTAAGGTGGCGTCGTTAATTCCCTCGAAAGTTTTTAATCGTCACGCTTGTTACACTGCACGCGGCCTTTAATTACGGTATCTTTACCACCGGTAACATTTTACTAATATCTTGGCACACTGCCAATGTAAACAAGGTGTACGATTGTACGAGCACGCGGACTATCTCTCTCCTCCGTTCTTTTTCGACATTTTGTGTCGTACGATAAAAGCTTTTTCCACTTGCAAATTCCCCGTCTTTCGAGCCTTTATCCTTTAACCTGCGTTTAAACACATTTTCAGCATGTGACAAATACATTTTTACGTAGAGCATCGTGAAACGATCTTCAAGTCGTCAAGGATAACGCGTTTCGATCGATCTTTGTCGATTGTACGACGTACCAGTTGACGACTGTATCTTGATAGTTTTTTCTTTTTTTTTTTTTTTTTTTTTTTTACGAAGAACATTACGTCAACGTTTTGCGCATTAATTACGTATTATCGAGTATCGAGTGGTACGATCAAGTTAAAAGTTAATTTTAACGACAGTCGAGTAACTTCTTCTCAGTTATTTTTTTCAGCTATTGTTCTCTTATTTCCAATTAAAATATGTTACGCATACGTGGTACAAATCGCACTCGTTAGAGATATTACGTAATTAAACGAGCTCTGATCTCTTCCTGTGTTATATAATTTGATAGAAGTCGTTGTTCGGTTAATAATCGGCTCGAAGTGTGTTTAGCTGCTAGCAATACCGTCACGAAACGCGCGTTACACGTAACCTAATGGAAAAAAAAAAAGAAAAAAAAGAAAGAAAGAAAGAGAAGAAACAGAGAACATCGTTAGACAAAAATATCCAATTTGCAACTAATTAGTTATCCGATTCTCGTGCCGTGGATAAATGGAATTAGCGAGATAGCGAAACTAAAAATTTCAAGGTACGATTTCTCTCGCCTCTTTCAAACTATATAAATGTATATTCGTTTCATCATCGGTGCATTTAGCCGTGTCGAAACGACGAAAGAGGAAAAACTGTACGATAGAGCGAGCTGAGAATCAAGAGCAAGATCTACGAAGTAAATCTATTAATCGGGGACAGGAATTTATTATCAGGTTTATCAGGTGACCTGGTAGCTCTTGACCTTCTCGTCGAGTTTCTTCAAGGTCTCTTGTATCGTGGTGAGGGTCTTGTCGTTCGACTTCTCCTCCACCTGAGTCTCGTTCTGCGTCCTCAGCTCCTCGAATCTCTTCAGGATCTCCCTGACGCTCAGCTTGCTTCCGTCCGCGTTCTCTTCCGTGATCGTCTCCATTTTCGAGACCTTGCGCTCCCCGTTCACTTTGCCGGCGATCTGGTCGCTGTCGTAGAAATCCTGGATCAGTTCGTTCACCTGAACTTCGTCCTCGGTGACGTTCTCACTCTGTTTCGCCGGAGATTGAGCTCGATGCTTCGTCTCGTTGCTAGAATCGTTGTTTCTCAATGTTTGGCCAAGCAAAGTCAAAGGACTCGAGTTCCTCGAGTTTCTCAGCAAGCAACCCTCCTCGATCCTCAGCTGCTCGATCGTCGGTTGGAGTGGACGATCGCAGTTAATCGTGTTAATCATCGAGTTAATCGTCGAGGCTGTGGGATTCAAGTAGGGCTTCTGATCCAGCTTGGACACGTCGATCCTCGGTATGTTCTCGTACTCGAACTTCTGCTGGCATTTCGCATGGCATTCTTTCTTCATCGATTCCACGCCTCGGGGCACTTGTTCCACGTTGTTCTTGTTCACGTCCAAATGACCGGATTCCGGGGACGGAAGCTTCTTCTCTTCCGGAAGCTTCTTCTTTCTCCTGCACTCGTCTTTCGCGAAAAATTTAATGAACCTGTTCCTCGGCTCGTTCTTCGGCCCTTTTTCACGGTTGGAAGCCTTCTCTAAGAACGCCCCGGAGTCGTCCGTCTGCCCGTACTCGTCGCTGCTCAAGTCCGACTCCGAGGACTTCACCAGCAAGCTGTCCGGAGAGTTGGTCTTGCGATCGTCGTCGGAGAAGTTCTTGTGATCGAACAACTTCCTATGATCACCGAGATTCCCTATGCTTTTCCTCCGAGGGCCGAGAAGCTTCGAGTCGTGATCGTCGTAATGCTTCCTATAGTCCTCGTCCACGCGAGGGAACAAGTACTCGCACGATCTCTTCCCGTCGAGCTTCCCCTCCCGCGTTCGATGATCCACTTGGTTCTTCCCATTTTCGCGGCCATTTTCCAGCTTACGCAGAAACTCGGACCTCCTCACGATCCTTTGAACGTTGTTGAACGGCTTCGGCTCGATTTTCCTGCTGGTGGACTCGTTCTCGGAGATCTCCGAGGGATCGACGAACTGCGAGAGGATCTCCGGTCGATGCTTCGGCTTCTTTCTCAGGGTTGTCGGCAGTTCTGCCCAGTTGCTCGACAGTCTCTTCGAGAAGATACTCTCGGTGTCGGAAACCTCCCTCTCCATTTTTGGTCAGTTGACGACGGCCACTTTGCTCGTTGACTCGATCGAGCGCATTTGGATCTGTTTAGTCATAGAGACACCGGTCAACCATTCTCTGCTTCGATCATCCACGAATTTGTTTCGTTTCGAGAAGAATCTTCAGGTGTTGATCTAATTATCAAGTAATTATCTCAAGTGAGTTTTTCGAACCGTTCGTTCCTCGAGAGAGTGTGGAGAAAATGTTCTTCCCGAACGTACCGTGCACCGTGTGTGTGTGTGTGTGTGT